AGGGTCGCCCGCGGGCCAAGGTGACTGAGCCCTCGCCAGGCGCGGGTCGGGGTCTTGGGGGACCCCGGGGGCTGGACCTGTGCCCCGGGCCGTGGCTTGATCCAGCCTGCTGAGCTTTCTGGCTTCCGTAGCTGGCGGCGAGCCCTGGTCTGCAGAGCCCCGGGCATGGCGGTGTGGCCTGCGAGACAGGTGGCGGTCTCCGGAGGTCAGCCTTCCCTGAGAGGGTGCCCCCCGCGGGTGGAGGACTCCCCCAGCCACCGCCTTTCCCGGCCCGGTGGCTAGGACAACGCGCAGGACTGGAGGGGTGCGTTCTGCTTGGCCAAATAGCCCCTGACCAGCCGCCTCTGGCCGGGTTTGGGATCCTGCTGGGCCCGGGGAGCTGTTTGGGTGTTGAATGGGCGCTGAACCTGCTTGGAGGGGAGGGCTGGTACCCGACACCCATAGCTGAGTATGTGACCCCTTCGTTTCCCTCCAGGAGTGCAGCGGCCTTGGGGAAATGCCCGGATCTTTTGTGCCAACAGTGACCGCTATATCCACAAGCCAAGACCTCCAGTGGCTGGTGCAGCCTACCTTGATTTCATCCATGGCTCAGTCTCAGCAGCCTTCGGGGCAGCAGCCGCCCCCCCAGCAGCAGCCGCCTCCTCCACCCACAGTGGACCCCTATGACTTGCCTGGCCCCAGTTATGCTGCCCCTGGAATGAGCGCCTACGCTGCCGGTCCTTCAGCAGCCCCCATGGCTCCGGCCACCCCGCCACGTTCCACCAGGGCCCGGGCCCGAAGGACGCGGGAAGAAACGGTGAGTGGGGGGCTTCCTTTCCTGTGGGGCTTCCTCTGGGGACTTGGGCAGAAGGTCATTGACTCCATTCATTTTGCTTCCTAAAACTACTTGAGATCTCCCAGCATGCTGGAGTTTCAGAGAGGAGACCCCGGCCTCTTAACTGCTGTCTTGGGCCTGGGATGGCCCTCAGTGGGCTTCTGGTGTTCTGTAGCTAAAAGAAGCAGGGCTTCCTGGGGGACTTTCCTCCACTACCCCAACCACAACAGGTCCATTCACCATTGAGAACGTGTTGTGAGCGCTCTCACAAATTGGATGCCGTGGCACATGCCACTGGTCACAAAAACGTGCATTTACCTGAAGGAAAATATAGCGCCTGAAAGGCAGCCCCCACCATTCTATTCTCTGAGAATGTCTTTGAGGTCTGGAGGAAAATACAAACTATGGCAGTGGCTGGTGCTTTGCAATTTGCTAAGTTTCCTTTTTTTTTTAATTTAAAAAATCTGGAAAACAGAACTTCCTAGGGCAATAAATTTGGTGGGTGCCAAGGATCATCTCAATGGGTCCTTTATTGCTTCCAAATGCTACTTTGAGGAACCAGGAAATGCAGAGGGCAGGGCCTGCTGGACCCAAATCTTGGGCCAAAGAGAAGCTGGTTCTGGTGACACTGAGCCAAACACTGGAGTAGCCAACACTGGCTATTGGGCAAGTTGCACGCGGCTATATTATTTTGATTTGATATGCCTTGAGGAAGAGACGTGTATCGTAAGGCATGCAGACATTCTTGAGATCTCTCCCCCTCCCCGTCCGTCACAGAGGAGGTGCCTTTAGCTTGCCCTCCAATTCTAAGGAGATGCCAGGAGCCCCAGAAGCCCCAGTGCTTGTGATGGCAGCCGCTGCCCTCTGAGGCCTGACCTCTCTCTTCCCCTCTGCTCCCACAGCTGACCCCTGAGGAGGAAGAGAAGCGCCGAGTCCGCAGGGAGAGGAACAAGCTGGCAGCCGCCAAGTGCCGGAATCGCCGCCGAGAACTGACAGATCGGCTTCAAGCGGTGAGTTTGGGTGCAAACGGGGATGGGAGTGTGAGTTAGTGGCGCCGTGGTTCTGTTCTTATGAAGCCCTCGGGGAGGGAACTCCGTGCCCTGTCCCTGCCGTGACTGCAAGGAGGATGCCCCCTGAGGGGGCACATATGAAACCCACCCCGTTTCATTGTGCCGCCTCTGGGCTCCGGGGAGGCCCTGGCTAGGCTAACCTTGACCGCACCCCTCAGATATGATTCCCGCTGTTAAGGCAAAGGCTTCAGCTATTCCCTTCAGGGAGCTGGATGGACGCGTCCTGACACCTGCTCTTGAGGAGGTTAGGGCGCAGCAATTGGAACGACAGATCCTGGTCCCGAAATGCTTTACCTGATGGGACTTGTTCTAGTCTGCTGTGGGCCTCATCTTCAGGAGGGCGGGCATTTTATTTTTGAATTAGAATGGAAGAGCTCATTCTTTTTATTTCAAGTGGGCACTGGTGTCCACAGGGGGCGGTCAAAAAGTCAAGAATGCGGCCCCAATGCTGCAGTTAAAGCTCATAGGAAACCAGCAGAGCTTCCAGCTGAGCTGTTGCAGCTGCCATTTTGACTTTTCTGACCACCCACTGCGGAAGTTCCTGAAAGCGGGGTTTACGGGTGATGCTGCTTTGCCACTTTGCCTGTCCTCTGAACTGGAGTACACCCAGGAGAGAGCGGCTTCTGTTGCACCACTTGGGAGGTGGGGGTTTCCAGCCGGCCCATGGGGATGGCAGAGGAAAGTGTGTCATCGGGTCTTTGGGCTAAGGAGCCTTTTCTTCTTTCTGCTCCTCCTCATGCCATTTTGGAAAAGGAGGAGGAAACAGCTTCCTGGGCTGGAGCAGAAGATGCCAGACATTCTGCCTCTGGCCAAGATTGTGCAGGGTTTGGCAGACCCGCTCCTCCGGCAGGCCAAGCCCCAAGTCAGGTCTACAGATTAGGATCACCAAAGCCCAGTGGGCAGACGGAGGCCTTTTCCTTGGAGAGATGCCTCATGCCTGTAGCCTAAACGGGGAGAACTGCCCAGACCTGGCAGCCTGGGGGAGTGCAGAGGGGTCGCGTCCATTAGCGCCTCCCTGGAGCTGTGTCTCGGATGGGTCGGGGGCAGATGAGATGAGATGGCAGAGCAGGCGGTGCTGCTCGGGGCCAGCTGAGTTGGGCAGCCCCAGTTTCTTGGGCCTCGCTAACTCCTTGGGCTCCCCGGCTGCTCCAGCCCCAGGCTGACTCAGGTGCTCCCCTCTTCCCCAGGAGACGGACCAGCTGGAGGAAGAGAAAGCCGAGCTGGAGTCGGAGATAGCAGAACTGCAGAAGGAAAGAGAGCGCCTGGAATTCGTCCTCGTAGCTCACAAGCCCAGCTGCAAAATTCCGTACCAGGACATAACAGAACTGAGTGGGCAGCCCAGCACCTCGGCAGAGGTGAGCGCCCTGGCCATGCCGGTCAAGGAGGACCCCTTTGGGCCCACAGTCGCCTACTCGTCAGTGCCCCTCCACTACCAGCAGACCCTGGGCGGACTCCCAGCCACAGCCCCAGCGGAGGTAGCGTTTTCTAGTTCTTACTTTACACATGGTGAACAGCTGACCGACCCGTACCCAGTTAACCCTTCATATACATCTTCGTTTGTGTTCACCTACCCAGAGGGAGCCACCTGTGGAGCCAGCCACCAGCGGAACGGCAGCAGCGACCACTCCTCGGACTCTCTGAACTCTCCCTCGCTCCTTGCTTTGTGAAACTCAAAACCCACAACTTACGCCTTTGGGCCTAGCCTGTAAGCCCACCCCTGCCAACACCGGGGTGGGCGAAGGGGGCCAGAGCTCCAATGCGCCTGTGCGCACACCTACCTAACCTGCCAGCTGTCTGGGAGCCTCCAGCCCACTCTGCTGCAGCTGCGGCCGCCACCTCTATAGCCATCGCAATGCGTTCTCATTAACTCATTGGGGGCGCAGCACGTGGTGGGGCGTCTCTGCTGACGGTTGTGGTCCTCCCTGGCCATGGCTGATTCCCAAATCGAGAGGAGAAAAGAGGACGCTTCTGGGCTGTGCGTTGGACCCACCACCCTGGAGAGTTCTGAGCCCACCTTTTTCCCTGGAAACAGGATTTGCCTTCTACTGAATTGAGACGCTTCGTTGATCAGAGCAAGGATGTTTCCTTCCATACCTTACCACTGTTGCTGTAAAAAGCCGAGCAAAGGGGCTGCCCTGCGGAGAGGAAAAATGGAGGAGGAAGGGCCCTCCCCGTGCTCCCCCCCACTCAGCTCTAATTTTGTGGTGGCTTTGTGAATTGTGTTAGTTGCATGGTTTAAAAATGGGCACTTTAATGCTTTTGCTTGTCAGCGTAGCATCCTGAGTTTTGGATCTTCCAGGCTAAGTTTGTACATGATCTCCATTCTGTAGGATGAAAACGTCACATGAAGTGGCCAATCACGCAGATTTTTGGGGATTATTTTGGCACATTCCTGCTGAAAGCTTTTGCCATATTAAAGCGGGCCAGAATATTGCGCCCTTGGTTCTTAAAAGCCCATGGATTTCAGCAAATTGTAAGCTTCTGGACTGAACTTAGGCCTGCTGACTCACTGACCTAGAGGTTGGTGGGTTGCATTTCTTCAGTGGGCATTCGGCTCTCACTGAAATGTACAGTGAAGTAGATTGATTGATTGATTGATTGATTGATTGATTGATTGATTGATTGATTGATGTGTGCCATCAAGTCAGTGTCGACTCTTAAACCCGGTTTCCGCTG